ATTTAGCATCTGTGTGAATTGAATTTGAAATCCGTTCTTTTTCCTTTGTCGTTTCATATCTTTGGAGTCGAAATTAAATCTTTAGGAAACCCTCTGTTATAAATAGTTTAATATTCGTCTAGTAGCGTCTGTTGAAAGTATCTTTTAACAAAATAAATATGCGGTTTTTGTTTAGGAGTCAATTCTTTTCTTTTTTACATGGACGACGTGATTGATCCACCGCTGACCGATGGTGACCTGTACCGGAGCTTTAAACGATGCCGACAGATCGGCGCCTTGCCGCGAGTGCAACCTGCGAATGGAGAAATAATCAAAATAGTACGTTTTTGCTCATAGATATTTCCAGTCTGACCAAAACTTTATGCAAAAGCTCGGGTTTACTGTGTTATTACAGATAGAACAGGAAATGATTGATATGGGCATTACTGGACCAGAGGGTCACGTGTATTCTCGACCGGAAAATGTATGTCATTATTTACGTGATTTCCACGCGTATTTTATGTCGTTGCGATCCATTCGTTGCTTTAGTTAGAAGCGGAAGCTGTATCTAGGGTTGCTTTACTTTCCAATTTGGCTAACTGCCCATTATATGTCTTGCGTGTCGCAAGCAAGGGTGCCACGAAAGCGCTGGCATGGGCTCGTAAGAAAGGTGCGTATTACGAGTGCATTTATATTTTTAATATCGTATACATGCATGCTAATGGCAATTAATTACGTAATCTGTTTAGGCTATGTCGTAACAGGAGAAGTGTTGGCGGCATCCTTCTGTACGGACAGCTGCATTCATGAAAAGAATGTGAAGAACTCAGACGTCCGTGTGACTTGTCCACCATTGCGATTTGACCGTGTCACTCCCACTTTCTTGATAAACCGTCTCGCTTTTGGTGACCTCGAAATGACCGCCAGTGACCACAGTATTTTCAATGCTGTCGAGAAAGCGGCCGGAATATCAGATTTTAGAAAATTGCCTAAAGGAATCAATGGCGTTCAGGAACGAATGATGGTCACTTGGGAAAAAGGAGTTGTAATGATTCGATTTTTTCTTTCTAACGTCACTCTTTCATCGTGTGTGTTTTTAGAATTCGGGCAAATTCGACCTGATGCGGTTCGTGGCTGTTTCCAGTACCAGCGCTGCCAAAGTCTTCAATATGTATCCTCGAAAGGTTGTTGATATGTGATATATCCGCCTGCATCATATGAAAATCAGTTTTTTCCCTTCAGGGTCGCATCGCGGTTGGATCAGATGCTGACATCGTAATCTGGGATCCTGAAGCGACACGAAAAATTACTGCTAGAAACCAAACCCAAACGTTAGATATGAATGTGTTCGAGGGCCAGATTTGCAAGGGAGTTCCATTGGTGACCATTTGCGGTGGAAGAATAGTTTACGAAAATGGACAGGTAAGATAATTTTACTTGCTACGCGTCAAGGAAAGCAATGACAGTTGCATTGACTTAAAAGCAGACTTTACTGACAATTTGTACAGTAAGTATAAGTTAGGATAGTAGAGAACGATTTTCACTATGGCAGAAAAGACCTATTACGTAATAACATTTATCACCATTTGATGCCAGGACATTTCCTCCCATCTAATCGACAGGAAACTATTGAGAAATGTTTTCGACTTGTCATTTGCTGCACACTTTTGGTCAATGTAGCTCAGTGGATACAACCTCTGTCAGTATTGTAGTCAGTAGTTCAGATTTGAATCTTGTCACTTGCCCTTTATCTCTCTGAGATGGATCAATGAATACCATAACTTGAAAAGAAGCAGGAGAATACATGCTGTAATTGTTACTTAGTTGTAAATAATTCCGGCAGTCGGGAAATTTGCCGCATGCTGTTGACTTGGCTCAATGCTGATCAGAACTACATCATGAGCTCCATGAAAATTGACTGTCTCAGATAACTTTATCATAGAAATATAAAGAGCACGGATATCCCAACGGGTACAAGCTTTCATTCATCGACAAAGTTGCATTATATTTTTCTAGCTTTATGAAATACAACTCAAAAACGATTTATTTGTACGCAGTATCATACGGTTGGTGCGAAACATGATAGATCTCCAGCGACGTTTCTGTCCACATCTTTCGGTCATTCTTACGGTTGATGGTTTTTGTGTGCAGCAACT